GGATACTGATATATTGGCAGCATTCCGAGTAACTCCTCAACCTGGAGTTCCACCTGAAGAAGCAGGGGCCGCGGTAGCTGCCGAATCTTCTACTGGTACATGGACAACTGTATGGACCGATGGACTTACCAGCCTTGATCGTTACAAAGGGCGATGCTACCGCATCGAGCGTGTTGTTGGAGAAAAAGATCAATATATTGCTTATGTAGCTTACCCTTTAGACCTTTTTGAAGAAGGTTCTGTTACCAACATGTTTACTTCCATTGTAGGTAACGTATTTGGGTTCAAAGCCCTGCGCGCTCTACGTCTGGAAGATCTGCGAATCCCTCCTGCTTATGTTAAAACTTTCCAAGGTCCGCCTCATGGGATCCAAGTTGAAAGGCATTATGCGATGCCATTTTACAAAACTAAGAAAATAAACAAGAAACAAACAAGAAAATAAATGAAGATAAGAAAGAATTACAAAAATATTCACAAGTTTGGACCAAAGTACTTACGCTTACTCCTCAAACAACCTAAATACGCCAAATTGTACCCGGAAGCGGCGCCAATTTTGATGACGTCCAAATCCACTACAAAAAAGTAAATGGACACGGTCGCATGCAATATAATTTACCCAACTATGAGTCGTGGTCGAATCCCATAGAGAACAATATGTAGGCGATTAGGCGTCTAAGAGAATTATCACTTGTTATGCTAAGCCAAACATTTAGAAAAGTTTTGAGAAAATATTAATCACTAAATGCAAAAATATAAAGTAACCTAGAAAGCAAGTAAATTGATCAATGGCTACAAGCATGGAAACAAGGAAAGTTACACTCAAGTAACAATCCAATGCATTTCACGATTTTATAAATATGAGCGAGTTTATTTTAATTAGCCTTGGGTAATAATTCTATATTAACTTCTTCCGAAGACTAACAAGACTTCTTAATTGAATTATCCCAAAAACAATTAAGAGATTAAGCACACCCGATTATGGTAACAAGTAGTTCAATCTTATCCCTAGGTAGAATCTATAAAGTGAGGGTTAAAGCCTCAAGTTTTTGTTAATTAATCTTTCCCAACCCCAAATTATCTTTCCCAAAATTAATTCGAAGTAAATGGGTGAGTCCTAAGGTTATCTAATACCTTTGGAAACATTAAAGATCAAGAATAATTAAAGAAACAATAACTCACTTCATAATAACTAAAAATCATTCAATACATAAGCACAACAAAATATTTAATCCACACTTTAAATATGAATATTCTCATAAACAAGATTAAAGTGTTGGAATAAATACTACACACTTATATATACAATACAAAGCAAGGAAATGAAGAAATGAACATAAATGGGTAAGGAATTCTCAACCAAAAGCTTCAAATATTCAAGCGCCAAGTGTGTGTGTGCAAGAAACCTAGCTTCCAAAACTTGTTCTCTCTAGTCTCAAGACTGAAAAATAATCCCAAGATATTTTACAAATGAGCTAGTATAAGTATTAAATGATTTGGGACAAAACATGTGAAATTACATAGGTACCAAGAACTAAAGCACGATATTCGCATTTGCGAAGCAATGTTCGCATGACTTTCCTGTTGACCTTCGCATTTGCAATAAAGACTTCGCATTTGCGAAGTCTGATTGTCTCGTTTGTCTTCGCATTTGCGAAGTCCTTTTTCGCATTTTCAAGCACTGCCTTCTTCTCATTTCCCACACTTGTCTTGCAATTGTAATGGTCATACCTCAACCGATCTAGTTGAGCTAGAGATGATGGATTTTGATTCTATCATGGGCATGGACTGGTTGGCAGCTTGCTATGCCACAGTTGATTGCCGAGCAAAGGCAGCCAATTCAATTTTCCGGGTGAGCCAGTCCTTGAATGTGTAGGTAATACAATGACACCCAAAGGTAGGTTTGTTTCCTATCTGAAGGCGAGGAAAATGATCGCAAAAGGGTGCATTTATCATATTGTGTGAGTTAGAGATGAAGATGCTGAGATACCTACACTTCAGTCTATTCCAATAGTTAGAGAGTATGCAAATATGTTTCCAGATAAGCTTCTAGGTATTCTCCAGATTGAGAGATTGGTTTTAGTATCTATTTGCTTCTGGGAACTCAACCAATATCCATCCCTCCATATAGAATGGCTCCTGCCGAACTGAAGGTTTTGAAGGAGCGGTTAAAAGATTTGTTAGAGAAAGGATTCATCAGACCCAGTACCTCACCTTAGGGTGCACCGATATTGTTTGTTCAGAAGAAAGATAGCTTGCTGAGGATGTGTATCGATTATAGGCAACTGAACAATGTAACATTTAAGAATAAGTATCCACTTCCAAGGATCGAGGACTTATTTGAACAGTTACAGGGGGCTAGATGCTTTTCAAAGTTACATTTGAGGTCCGGGTACTACCAGGTCAGAGTTCAGGAGAAAGATATTCCAAAGATAGCCTCCAAGACCCGATATGGCCACTTCGAGTTCCTTGTCATATCCTTCCAGTTGACAAATGCACCCATCGTATTTATGGACTTGATGAATAGCGTATTCCGGTCATTTTTAGATCTGTTCGTGATAATATTTATTGATGATATTCTGGTTTATTCACAT